TATTCGCGTATATATTCGCCCGTTTCATTGAAAGTTAAATTATTGAACGTGTAGCATGCGCATTTTCAACCGAAGAGAAATGACCCGAGTCGAGGTAAACCGAAAAGAAAAAACATGATAATTAAATTTTATTGCGGTGTAGTCGGCGATTAAAATATTACGAAGAAGCATTTAATTAATTAAGCTTGAATTTCCAAGAACTTCTTCCTTCCTTCTTTTTTTCTGAAATGGAAAACCTATCTTACTGTTCCGCTTTGAAACATTTTTGCTTGTTGAAACATTAGGTAATTTGTCTCGACTTTAATAAATATTATTTGTTTAATCCTTTGCACTCGAATCTTGTTCTTACTGACATTACCAACAACTCGAAGTAATTTTAATAGAGAAAGTATATTAACATATAAATAAATGATACGCGCACGAAAAGAAAAGTCATAGATGTATTTTACTGTTTTTTATCGATTGTAGATATGAATATTATAATATATTTAGTGATAAAATTTTACAGTTTGTAATGACAAATTTTAATTGGCTCTGCTCCGGAGTCCTCGAGTGCAAAGAGTTAATAAATTTCGCGAATCGGCAACGACCACTATTAAGAAAAGCGTGACGCGTGTTTTAAGGATATGATTGAGCGATTAACGTGTATTGATTATGTACACCGGGGAAAACAGAGAAATGAAACGAGGAAAGAGAATAACATGGTTCTTTGCGGCTGGGAAGTATTGATGCGAAATTAGCGATAATATTACTAATTTCGTTATCGATATTTAACGGCCGATGCCCGATTTCTCTCCTTGAACTTTGCTGATATCTCGCTCTCCACGTGTTGCTCGCCGACCCTCCTTCACTTTCTTTTTCCGTTTGTTTCATCATTACGCTTTCGGCTGAAGCAGCGTCTAAGTGTAAATAAACAGCCGGCGGGAGCAGTTGCCTGTGTATCCATCCATCAGTTCTGTTTTTAAATACGGAAACGTTTACAACGTGTCCGAGGATCCGGGAGAACTTACTTTGCTACGTTGCGAATCACCTTGTTCCATTCCCAAGTGTTGTTACTCGTTTTTAACGCGGCCACTCTCTTCGTTATTGTCAGTTTTCAGTTGCGTTTAAGACGTGGGATCACTCATGCGCCTGTTACATTTCATTTGCTGATATTTGCTTGTACGCATAAAAAATGTGAATGCCTAATTCTTTGCCTTATGATTTCTTTCTCAACTCTGATCGATACTACTACTTTGTCGTTAATAATTTTTTGGAAAATGAGATAAATTATAGGCATATTCTGTGTCTACGTTTGCCCTTAAATATGATTTTATTAGAAGAATAATTTTTACTTTGAATTCGAATGAATCGAGTAATATTTATGTTTGTTCAATCATGTCGAAAATCTTCACCAGGAGTCTGACACGTTATTACAAGGCAAGGGGTTAAAAGTATTAATTCATTTGCATCATTAAGCGAATAATCCGCACAGAATTGCTTTTAGTTGTCTTTATGTTACTCGGCTATATCGATTGGAGCCAAATAATTTCAATCGAAAGCTTGAAGGACAAAGTTAAGCATCTCTGATTTATAAAATAAGCTTCACATTTCGAGTATAGATGCAAATGGGTTAAGTATAAGTAAAAGCAAATGCTGCTTCTTATGCGTAATCTTTCACTAGTACAAGACGGGCAATGCTAGAAGTTCTGAAGATAAGCGAGTTGTATACTTGATACTATAATAGTATTTACTTGATGTTTTTAATAAGTACTAATTGTCATGGGTAGGAATTTTAAGTAGTTACCAAAAAATGCAGTAAATAGTGTTTCCAGTAAATATTTTACTCTTTTTGCATATAGAACTGTCGCCTTTATGTATTTCCGAAGATTAAATTTAACGGAGGAATTATTTATATTTACCGATGAATCGTCAAAGCTCATCTTATCGAAAATGCCATTCGTCACAGACAAATTTAGGAAGGATTTAAATAAAAAGAAAGTTTAAGTATTTTATTACAAAGTGCATACCGAACTAAAATATTCACCACAATAGATATTCTCAAATATCTCACTGATTCATTTTTTAAAAATTACGTTCAAGAGGTTAAATACAATTTGTAAAAAGTTTACAAGGAAATGTACAAACTTATTTTCCAACGAATGATAAACATTTAACATTGAAGTATTCACAAGTATGAACGACCAAAGTTCAAAGGGACATGAAAACCGGTGGAATTCGTAGGGCTGTTTCGATGTTCCTGGAATTTCGATTTTTAATTCCGGCCAGTGTCGATGATCTTTGAATGGAACTTCCGTTCGAGTGCTTGTTTCAAGAGATTCTAAAGCGAATCGTTCAGTGGGATGTTGATAAAAAAGGTTAATTAAGGTTTAAAACGTGGTCATTCAAGTTACCTCAACGCGAACCGTAACGCTGAAAACCTGTTTGTTCCTTCAGTGATAGCGTAACTTAACGGAACATCAGTGATATAAAGCGCAATATTTTCGCAGTGCACGAATATTGAGATTTTCCATCAGGGAACATACCCTTCGTGGAAATAAGTATTTTACCTATCTTGATTAGTGTTACGTTTTACGTAAAAGAAGCAGTCGCGCAACAAAATATTTAATTGTGAATACTTACACATAAAACTCTTTCCGTGTGATTCGAATATGTATCATTCGAATTTTTTCATCATTATTCGTTAACGTATTCAACGAATCGTGTTCTACATTCGTTCCACAAAAATTCCCTTTTGTTTTTTATTTTTGTTTCTAGATCGTTTTTCTATTTATTATATACCATACCTCGGATCTATTTCGGCTAATAGCACGTCAGTTAGTGTTTTGACTACCGTACTCACGTATGCATGACTGCCCTCGGCCAGCGCTTATCAGTCGGTCTCACGCAAAGGTGATTTTGAAGTTCTCGGACCTGCCTATAAAATTAAAACACTCATTTTTAATGTCATGCGTCTTGGTAAAAAGGTTTTTTAATAAAATAACAAGTATTATATGCTTCATGTTAAAAAAGAATAACAGGCATATATTTTCCATAGATATTGTATAAGTATTCGTCACATGATTTATTCGATGTATATTTGAAATAGAAAATTATTATAAACTTAAATATAAATTATTATATAATTTAGAAATTGGAATGAGCAGAAATGATTATGTTGTATCTTATTGATCTCAGTAAATTAAAAACAAAGTATTATTAATTTTCATTGACATAATTGGTAATACTAAAATGTTACTTGTAAGAAATAGAATAATTTTATTGTTTCAGGAATGAGATTCACAAAATTTCTAAAATTCTAGCCCGGTGGTTTAGAATTATTAATTTAACTCCAGTGTATCCTATTATTGTTATTAACATATACAAAAGATTATTGTCATTCACCTAATTATTATGTTGCTACAGACTGAGTCGAAAACTTTTACTGACAAAAAGTAAAATATCGATTGATCGTCATCATAATTTAATTTGAATTTTAATTTGAAAGTCCAGTTACTTAATGCGATGTCATGATCCCGAAATGTATTCGCATTTACGACGTTTACAAGCCCTTGATTAATATTGATCGAAAAGGGAACTGATAGAAAAGAGTTTGTTTGTTTGATCGACATCCCCTCCTTTTGTTTTCTCATGAGCGTTCGTCTTCGCGTTTTAATTAATGCACGATTCTGCCCTATCGCTTCCATCGGCGACGCGTGAATGAAACCCGGCATGGAACGCGGGGAATTTTCATTCGAAAGTAATTTTCTTGACATTCGACGGGAAGGGAATTTCGAAACTATTCGCCAAGTCGAAGCGATTCAATCGAGATTCTGCCGAGCTATTCGACGATTTTCCAATCTTTTGAACCGATCAATCGTTCTATTTTCCAAAATGTTTACGCAATCGAAATATGCGGTGTATTTCAGAAATGATTAGAAAAAGTAGTGTCCCAGTAGAAACTATGATTAATTAATGAAGCGATCGAATATTTCGTAGAAGCATTATACATTCAATCATAATTTTCTTTTTCAATCCATATACACCTTTCTTTTTGACATGAATCGATTCCTTGTATGTTCTTTTTTTTTATTTTTAACCAGTTAATTGCATTTGACGAGTATACACGCTATCTTAAAGCTGGAACTGATACTAATTCTTTTAACGTTCAATTGTTTATTTTTTTAAATAAATGTGTACTTCTTCTTTGTTTTGCTTTAGCTTTTCATTAAAATACACCTTAGATGCATTTCTCTTGCGTTTGACAAGTACACACTTCGTTTTTGATTTTATTGCACGCAAATTAAATTCCACAGTTAACAGGTTAAAGTAAAATAATGGATAAATTGCAGTGAGATATTCCTTTCGTGTTACTGTTAGTGATGATTGTAATTATTCAAACCATCGAAGCTTACTTCAACAGACTTTCAACGATCGGTCTGGTTCGATTAATAAAATCTACCATTACCGAAGCGTTGGTCGAATAGCTCGAGAAAATGCGAACCACTTGAAGAAATTGAAAAACTAAAGAACGCCGAACGTCTTCTCGTCGAACGATAAGAACAATCAGTGTGTTAACCGTTTCCTGTGATTTCTTTTCGTTCACTTCGTCGACTGACAGTGACACTTATCAAGGGTTAGAACGAAACGGCTTGACAGAATGGGGACCTGGCAACGTTGATAACTGGCGCGGCGCGAGGTTTGACATTTCCTGATTCGACTTTCTATAGCTTCGACTTCGTTCCACGATCAATGAAGGCGAATAGTGGCCCGTTGGGTGATTTCCACGCTTTGGAATGCGAGACGTTCCGTATAATTTAACGCGTTCACGCCAGCGTGTATCACCGGTGGTACACGACTAGTTTACAACGTCATGTGGCGTGTACCACCAGTGGTACACGGTTAATTTACAATACTGAACAAAGTATACAACATTATAATAAATTTAAAATACTTCGTGATGTCCTTGTTCTCCTTAAATATTCATTATATTACACTATTTTCTTTTTGTTAATTTTCAGCTGTACAAGAACCTTGACATCATCACTGCCAAAGTGACGAAAGAAGAAAAAGGAAGTGTGCCGCATCACATGCTAGACGTCGTAGACCCTTTGAATCTTGATTTCTGCGTAAAGCAATTCCAGAAAATGACCCTACCCATTGTAATTTCCCTTATTTTCGCTTCTCGCTTAGACTTACTTTTACTTTTTCAAGTTTACTCGCTTATAGTGTCTCTCGAAAACTTTATATACCCTGCTTCGAGTTCCATATCACCGAGCTCGTTTAACATCATTGAAAAACGAATGGAAAGATTTAAAAGCTTCAAGCGGTAAACTAACATTGATGTAACATTTAACGCAACAATTTCTTGATCGAATAACACTGTAACATCGCATAGAATAATTGATTCTAATTTTTCTATTTTGCAAACCACTCATTTGCGTTTCCTTCACCTCGGAATCAGTCACACGATCATCTTTCCGTTTCATTTACATTCGTTCGAATACCTAGCCGTGATCAGAGCCGTTTTGGTTTCGAATCGAACCCCTCGTTGGAAAACTTCGTAAGATTAATTTTTAGAACGAAGCAGCACGGGTCCCACCCTTCAAGACCATGAAACTAATAATTAGTCACGGTCTTTAATAGCGATCTTTCCTCCCAGTGGCGTCACCTTGAATCTCCCTCGTGAGTGTTCCGTCTTCTTTGACCAATTTAGATAGACGATCTGCTGGCCAGGCAAAAGCTACCGATCATTGTTGGTGGGACCAATTATTACATTGAGGCTCTTCTATGGAAGATACTGGTTAGTGGTCGGAATACCGATTCGTCGGATAATTCGTGTACGGAAGAGGTCCATGACGGGAATGATGAAGTAGACAAGATGGAAAAGATATCGATTCGGGACACCGACGAGAGCACTGAAGAACTTCACAAGAGATTGTGGAAGGTCGACCCGGAGATGGCTAAGCGGCTGCATCCGAACAACAGGAGGAAAATCATTCGGTGAGTAATGCAATGCATGAACAAAATTAATCCTTTGGCTTGTGATTTCTTCCATAATAAGAATGTTAGTTAGAATAATTTCGTCCTTAACATCATAACTGTGGAATTTAATTTAAAAAATCTCTAATAATGCGCGTTATAAAATGAAAAAATGTAGTAGGTACTCGTCAAGCGCAGGGCGAATGAACCTAGAATATATTTTAATGAAAAGCCAAAGTAAAATAAAGAAGAATTACATGTTTATTTAAAAAAGTAAATAATAGATTGCTGGAAAAATTAGTATCATTTTGATTTTAAGATGACGTGTATACTCGACAAATGCAATTAACTGGTTGACACTAAACGTACCGCGTCTAGTCAAGTGATCGGTATTAAAATTTGGTTTAAAATTCTGCATTTTCTTTCGACCATTTTTAATTTAATGTAATTAAATAATAAAAATTGACATAATTTAACCTTATACCAATTCTTATATTGTCTGACTAATAGGTTTTTCAATTTTTGTCTTTCTCTATGTTTATGTTTCCACTAAGAAAAATTTATCGTATCACTTGTGTACCTTTATTTTATAATCTACTATTTGACAGATTACGATAGAAATAGATTTATATAAATTGTCGGCATGTTCAGTGTTAATAATTTGTCAAAAACTAAAGAAAAATTTCCAATTCATCTGTATCCACTTTTACTTCGGAATATAATAATTAATAATAGGAAAATAACATTTAATTTGAACCTAAAATAATTCAGTAATATTTCATTTTTATTACTTTTCTTCAAGAACTTCCTCATGAGTCTGTCTGGATATTATATGGAAAAGGGTTAACCATTCGCTTGCAATCTAGGTCATTTATGTCCAGGTTCAGATTTCCTCGTTTGATTTTCTCCCAAGACTTTGTCCCCAATTCTGATTTTTCTTAACGAAGCTTTACAATCTTTAACTCGAAGATTAATTGTACGTTACAGTAGGAACTTCAATAAATATCTCAGAATGTTTTCATATTTTTTAGAAGCAACAGTAACAAACAAAGGAACAGTAAAGAATCCGTTACGGACATAAACGACTCACATTGCAGGTCAAAGGTGCTAAAACAGGACAGTAGGTGAAGGGTGAATAATATTTAATATTAGGTAAATACTCATGTTCGGTTAATCGAGGAGACAGCTTGTTTTTTGAAACAAAAGATTCGAGACAGTTTTGCTTTACTATCTCTTTATTAATCTTTCTGCAACATGTTGAAGAATATTATTGAAGTTAATACATTTTTATTATAGAAGCAAAGATAGCTTGATAAAGTGTACAATTCCTTTTCAGTAATTTCTTCATTTATTCACATTCATTTAATTACTTTTCTTTTTACTGTCTTTAGTGTATTAATTTATCATTATTAAATATATTTATTTACATATTATGATAGAGATGTAGGATTAATAACAGAAAAGTGTCAATCATATTTAATTTTGCTATGTTCTTCGAGTTTCTTTCGATCTACTCATCCCCCATTTTTTAAATTTTACGTTCCTTTGGTCTTCCTCGATAATGAATTATTGGAACTATGTCAGATTATTGACAAAATGTACCTTCATTTTAATTGTCATTTCAATTTAAACTGTTCAATGTCTACAACTGTCACAGTAAAAACTCGTTCAATGTAGAATTGTAAAACACTGTGAAGATCAAATGTCATCTACAAATCAAGTATATTTCGATCTGCGTACGATTTTCTTCGTAAGGATTACGTTGCTCACCGAGTAACAGTCCATCGAGAAATTGACAGACCAATGGTGTCATTGTCAGATAACCTCGGCACACGGTAATGTTTGATAAGGTATCATGAATTGTCTCGGCACGATGATTTAATCATTCTTGTACAGAATTTGGAACGTTATCTTATCTGCGCGTTACGTCTCGTGATCGATTGATAAATTGGGATCTTGTGAAACGTTTAATCGATGTTAAATATCTGTGTCCAATTTTCACGGTTCGTGTGATCTGAGGAACGGTGCCGATATATACATTATTCTTCTAATTTACACGTCGAGCGATTGTACTGCTCATTTGTCAAATTTCCCAATGCTATTCTTGGTAATTATTCATCTAATTGTGCTAACAAGATTATTAAATCACTAAAAGCAATTCCTTAAAAATAAATTCACGCCGACTCTTTACTTTTATTATTTGCGCAGAGCACGCGTGTCGAAATTATCGAATCCTGTTGATTTTACATATAATTGTAATACAGACGATGATTCGTGCGAAAGAAACACCGCATTCAAATTCTGATGGACCATTTCTGGTGTTTTTGACTGAATTAACAGGTAATAAATTTTGCAGAGCTTCCTCGCGATCGTCGGAAAATGACTCGAACCACGTATTCATCGCATGCAAATATAGTAGTCATCGTTTATACGCTGAGGCGTATACTTTTCTCACGTTATATTCGTTTTGTCATTGATTAGCCGTTTTATCGGGGACGAGAAGATTTTGTGTCTCCTTCTGAATACGTTAAATGGCAGCGTTACCTCGGATCTCGTGATTAATTAGGATAATTACGCTGCCTGGGTGCTACGCACGTGGAAATTATTTCGACGGTGAGATAGTTTACTTTGTAGATCTTATCTTGCAAACGATTTAGTAGTCGGGGTTAACTTTGTAGCAATTTCGGATGGTATTAACGTGCACGAGCCATTTTCATTAATTGTTCACGTGACTTGAGCAAGCTGCTCCGATGAATTTTTATCAACCAGGTTTTTATATGTTGCATTCGCTTGCTTAATAAGGCTTGTTCAATTCGGAAATACGAAACGGGCTGGAAACCGTTCAGACACTTTTCAAATTACTTTTGAAATCATCTCTGGTATTTAATGTTTATTACATCGTACAATATAAATGATTCTCCGCTGACTCTTTTATTTTGATAATTCAGCCTTACCACTAGAACCATCGAGCACTTAAACCGTCGTTTTAAAATTTCTTTATAAAAGCTGTACACGTGAATTTATTAAGATTTCAAGTGGTTTATATTTCAGTTCAGATATTATTAAATCAGCTTGTTCAATAATTTCTTAAAGAAGTATCTGTATCTTTGCAATAATTCTAAAAGAAGAAATTAGAAATTGGTAATTTTTACCCACCTAGTAGTTTTAGTGTTAAGTAATAAAAATCTGTTAAATCACTTTGAAAATATCCTTTGGCAATTTTTATTCACTCGTACAATTTAATAGATCTTCAATTTTGCTAGGTTTCACGATTTTACTAATTCTAATTTGAACACATTTTTGTTTCATTTTCATCATTATTTTTCATTCATTTATTTTAACTATTTTACCATCTCTACTTTCTTCTTTAACACTTTTAATACATTTTACTATACTTATATACTTTTAATCTAGACTTTAATGAACTTAAACATTCATTTCTTTCGTAATGTATCGAACGAACCGAATTTCGTTGAATGTATAATATATAAATAACGCAGTAAAGCAATCGTTACAAAGAATTTTGACTTTTTACTTTCCACCTTATTAAGAAAACTGTTTCCAGCGCATAAGAGTTTTGATAAGCGTTCACTTGCCAGTTAAAGCGTCGAGACATCGGCGGAAATGGAATCGAGTTGAAAGCGATCAGTTCCGAAACGAAGAAAATGCCTAAAAACCAGATTGAAAACGCCGAAAAATCGTAAATTTTCCGAGCGGAGACGGAAATTCCCGATAACGTCGCCGTAAATTGCTAAAAAAATTGTTAACGTTTATGGGTTTAATCTGCGGCGATTATGCGTATGCGAGCACGGGTATATTCGCAATTACACAGATTTACGTGTGGTAATTACGTTGGCGGCTGGTCTCCCGATTTTTATCGCGGCACGAGAACACCTCGAGCGTTCGGAATGATCGACAGCGGTCAATTAGGGTAGGGTAAGTGCGTTTTCGGGCAACCTTCTCCGCTTTCACAATATGGCCACCAGAGGCAGCTGTCTCGACGTGTCCTCCCGGGCGTTTTCCCGTTCTCGACTGAAGGGCCACCGCGAACCGCTTTCCTTCGTGAAAAGACTTTAGTAAAACTTTTGAACCAGGATCACTTAGATCAAGCAACCGTGCGCCAGGTGTTGAACTTTCCTTTCTTGTTCCTGCCAAGATTTTATTCGACCGGGAAACGCGGTAGGCCGCCGTCGCTTTCATAGGACCCTTCAAGGCCGTAGGTATCGTTTGCGTAATTGTTGCCCTCGTAAATCCTCGGCGAAAGTAGAACGTATTTTCCTGCATAATGGGAAGGTTGGATCTATTGATCGTCAGCGAGTGCAGAGTTCTATGGGGTTCCTGATGGGAATTCTGAAGAATGCCATTTTTCCGTAAAGAATTACTTCTTGCCGTGACAAAGGAAGCACGGGAACAAAATTGGAACGTCTTTGGTAAAGCTGTTTGACAAATATATGTAGATTTAATTTTACGAATAATGTACTAGTATTATATGTTATTATTTATTATTTGTTAATAATATATTATTATTGTTGTAATTACTATTATCATGAACAATCAAGTTGGTCAATGAATATTTTTATATCTAACCCAACAAAGAATATTGATAATAATGTATGATAACGGAATATATTTGAAAAATCAGAAAGTTTGATTTCGATTTTTTTGTTCATCAATCATTGTGACGCTTTGCAAATATTCGCTTATGTTGTATGGGACTCGTGTCGTTAACTTTTTATTTCTTCTTACGCACCTCTTCACACATTTCTGTATACGAACTGCACAAAATGACTGAAAATTTCTTTTTCCGTTCCTTTAAATGAACGACAAAATTTCTGGTCTCCCTCGGAGAAAGTCCACAGGTTTTTTTGATATTGCTGGACGAAATGCTCGCGTATCAATAAGAACAAGTATTCCGTTGCCGAAGTGTGGACGTGTTTTTTAAAAATTTACGTTTTAATTCAATTTAAATGCTAATAAAAAATACTGGTTTCGAATGTTCCGTTGTTCGCCACGTAGCATTG